GGGAGAGAGAGGGGTAGATAGAAGCAGTAGAGGAAATTATAGATCGAGAGAGAGGGGGGAAGTGAAATGCCTCAAATTGGTAATTGCAAATTGCAAATTAAGTAAGAACTTTACAGTCATACCCCATCGACTGCATAATTCTCGCTCATGAATCGAAAACAAGTCAATTTATGCAAAACATTTCTGGCTCAATGCAAGAGTCAGCGAGTCAACATTAATGAAGCTATAGAAATTGGAGGCCTTTATTTTAAAACTGGGAAAAATGTTGTTATGTTTTCGATTTGCCACGCTCAATCTATAGCTATATTTACATATATATACATATATCTTTATATCTATTTATGTATAAATCTATGTATCTTTGTATCTATACATCTATACATCTATATACGTATCTATATATCAATCCATATATGTATCTATGTGTATCTAAAGCCAATCTACCCACTTTCACTTTCTGAGCGAATATTTTAAAGTGCATGCCATATCATTTTGCATTTATTACAATTGCTCTGCTCGAGCTGGAGCTGCTTGACAGGTTGAATGTCCTTCGGCATTGACGTGACGCTCTCTCTCCCTCTCATATGCAACAAAATCAATTTGCATATATGTATGTGGGCGTGGCACTTTTGAACAGCAACATAGCCACATTTTGGGGCATTGTGCCAGAAAATTACAAAATGTTGTTGCTCTAGCTGCATTTAGCCAACTCCGAAGTTTGAGATAATTAATGTGGCTATATTCCAAAGGACCTCTTGCGTTCATAGGTGTCAGTGTGTGTGTGTGTGTGTATATATATATATTTGCATAGGGGAGTTGGTGTGAGGCTAAGTGCCCAGGTAGGTGTGAGTTACATAATGTGAGTGTGTGTGTGTGTCATTGGGATACTTGTTAGGTAAAAGCAAAATTATGTACTTGTTAGGCAATTTCCTGGAATCAAATAGAATAAACAGTTAATGTATTTAAAGGGGTTCGGCCATACATATATAGGTAGTTTGGATATAACTATGAATACGTTTCAGAACGTGGACAAAACATATACACAGAAACTTATTCAATCCTTGATTTCTATCGTTAAAATTTATGCTATCAAATTTAGAATAGAATTAAAATCGTATCACAGAATCAATACTTAAAATGAAGAACATTAAAATTGAAATATGTATTTATAATTAAATTCACAGTAATTTCACCAGGATTTTGCGTTCTACTCAATGTGAGAATTTTTGCAAATAAAGCTGTTGAATAAAAATAAAATGAAAATTGAATAGGAAATTGAGATGTTCATTCTGCGAATCAGATTGAAGATCAAGCCATCGATTAACTTAATTATTATTATTATTAAATATTGTCAAAGTAAAAAAATTTGCTTATTGTTTAGCAATAGGAAAAAATATTCGTATAAATTAGAAATCCTATTTTAAAGTTAATAACTATTAATATACAATATTATATTATATATACCTAGTGCAACAGAATAAAATCTTTTGAAAATTATAATGATTATTTAAAAATATGAAAATTTCGAATATTGAGCTTGAAATAATTTTTTTCTTTATGTAGTTTTGCTTATTTAACTTTTATTTACAAGTTGATCAACTAATATTATTTATTTTTGTTTTTTGTTTTTAGCCTTTCAGCTTAATAGTGCGCGATCTTAGCTGAAAATATTGCAATGCTAATATATTTTCAAAAACAAACGCGCTAGATTTATTCTGTAACTTATATATATAAAATATGCTTAGGCATTGATGGGAGCCAAAGTACGAGTTCTTAATAAATAGTTAAAGTCAATCAAGTAGTTTTCTGTAGAGGTTTGTGAAAATGGGACATTATGGTAAAATAATTTTCAAATGGTCTCGATTTTGGTTAGTAATAGAAACAAATGATTTACGAACTTTAAAAATAAAAAATATCTTATTAAATAAATCATTTCTGTTGAGTTTTGTAAACTTAGTAATATTTATATTATCTGATATTTAGAGTAAAATTATAGTTGTATGGTTTACATATCCTATCTAGAAACTATATCCAGATCTAGAAACTATACCAATATAATATTTTACAGGAAAACAGTAGCAATAAAATAAAAAAATTAGAAATATTTCACCCCTTTTAGATTATTATTTAAAACCCAGATGATATGTAAAGTGCTTAAAATTTCAAGCTAAACCACAATGAGGGCAATTTTCGAAAAAGGTTTTCTCGACCACAGGCCACTTGAGGCAGCGACAATTGGACAACTGTGCAGAAGCGATAGATAGAAACGACAGTTCCGTCAGAGCGAAGTCTATCGCATAATCACGAGCAGACACAGATTTTAATTTTCGACCAACCCAACAAAAAAACACATGTTCGAAAATTGCCCAGAGAGCAACCGCAAGGAGTCGTTCGGCCCAACAAGTGAAACTTTTGAATGCGCTTTAAAATCAAGTGTCTGTGTGTAATGCGATATTTAAATTTTGTATAAAAAACGTGGAGGATGCGATACATGGAAGCGATAGGGAAACGATATACCAACAGTCAGACAAGTTTCGAGTATGAGGGCTTGTGGCGGCGGAAATGGGTGGGTTGATCCGAACCTGTTAATGTGAATACAATAGAGCTACTTGAGGGTCGGCCGGGCGCCCGAGCCAAACGATCATTTAATCACGCCGCAGAACAACCCTCTGCACAACCCCTCCCCTCGACGCAATAAAAAAAGGTCGGCTGACTTTCAATTAATCAAATTATCTCGCCCCGGGGGTTGAGACCAAACACAGCATCCACTCCACTCCACTCCCCTCCACTTCAGCAGCAAAAAATTGCAGCCGGGCAAACATTTGTCCACTTTTCGCAATTTGTACAGGTCAAACTTTTCGAACTGTCTACGTTTATATATCATGCAGACACACACACACATATATACGAGTATATATATATATTTATATATTTATATATATATATATATATATATATATATATATATATATATATATATATATATATATATATATATATATATATATATATTCTGATTGTTTTCATTTGTCGCGCGCTGTGCAGAAACATCAATAAATTGTCAAAAGCTGTCAAAATTTTTAATGACTGTGTGACGCCTAATAGCCGAGAATCGATTTGTTCTGATATCGGTTTGCAATTTTGATTCTTTTTCTAGACCATAATAGACTCTCCTCCATTTTTTATGCTACTGTGAACATTTTTATGAATTGCTCGCGTCAAGGTTTGATTTCACCACTTTAAAGTTTTTTTTTTTTTTTTTTTTTTTTTGCGGTCACTTCATAGTCGAACATGTGGGCTGAATGAAGAATCAATCAACTGAATCGTTTACATTTCTTTTTTGCTCTATAAATATATGAAAAAGGTCGGGATTCTCAACTTGCTTTCATAGATACTCTCATTATTGTTAAGAAAAAATAACAAATGCTTAAAATATAGGCACATGCTCTCAAATGTATGTAAATCATTAAAAATATGCTAAATTTCATAAAAACTCAGGGAATTAAATTGATGCACTTAAAAATTTAAATATTGTATAAAAAATATATCAAGATTAGATAGTATTACAGGGATTAAAATTCGTACAATTCAAAATTTAAACATTTCTTCATGACCATAAACTAAATATATTTAAAATAAAAGATTGTAAATAAAAAATATGAAATATAAAAGAAAATAATATAAGCAAATAAACATATATATATAAAAATATTTTTTTTTTCTTAGATACATTCATATTTTTAGTTTAAATTTTTAGATCGAATGCGCCTAATATTATTAGATAATAATAATATGTATTATCTAATTATTATCATTATGATATAAATCATAAATTAAACTTACAATTTATTAACGATGTTGACTTCGCTTTTGATATTTAGATACTATTTCAGGCTTTTTGCTAAACCAAATGATATCCATATACATTATCATTATGATACTAAATTTTTATCAATGCCTTGATCATTGCAATGTAGGATTTGGATACATGTAGGTCTATTTCCAATAGTTGAATAAACTCCGCCTTGGCTTAAGCGGAATCACGCCCAGTGAGCAACCCACTCTTCATCTCTCCGCCTCTCACTTCGTTTTTTTTAAACAAAACAAGTATTTTTTGAAGCCCCAAAATGTAGCGATTCTCACGAAATGCAACGAGCTTTGACAGTTTGACAGTGCAAACCACAGCAATCAACACTTCTGCACCTGTGCGCGCCGTGTGACGAACGACCGCAAAGGCAATTCAAGGCATCAATTGTGTGAGTCCGGGAGTCCACCCCATTCGAGGCATTCCCTATTTAGAGTAGACTCGATTGCATGCAGCTAACTTTTGTAAAGTGCACGTTATGCTAACCCTTTGATTGCGATTTCAGTTGGGCTATCATTGAAAAGTCCTGAAATCAGAAAAAAGTGCCGAAGCGGGAACAGGAACCGGGAACCGGGAACGTGACAATGACAACGGGACAAGTCAATGGTTGTATAACATGCATAAATTAACGTAACTGTAACAGTAACGGCAACAGTCTCACATAATTCACTTCATTAACGGGCAGCAACCCTTTAACCCCTTCTGGCCAGCTCGGAGTTCGGCATATGCAAATAATGCCGCATCATTAGAGCATTCACAGTCCAAATCCCAATCTAAATCCGAATCACAGAGCTTCGAGCCAGTGCAAGTGCAGACCCATCGAAAGGGTTGCGGTTGCGGAGAGCGCGGAGCACGTGTCTGAAAATAGTTTTTTTTTTATTTTTTTAGGGAATTTGAACCTGCGACCTCGTCTCTTCACGAATTTGCATGTGTTGTTGTTCACAGCGATTAGTGGGCCATGGATATGGAAAATTTGTTTTTGGCCATTTGTCTGCTTGCGGCTTGGCAGAGTCCTGGAAGGGTTGACAGCCAACTGAGTGCCAAAAAAATAACTTTAAAAGTCGCTTGGGCGCTGAGCTTTGCCTCACTTTTGCCAACTATTTTCCTTAAAAAACATGCAAGGGATTTGGTAACAGAACTATTTATTTAACTAAGTTGACTAAGAGCGAACTGTATTTTGGAATTCTTTATTATTTTATATTTTAATCTTTTCTATTAATTTTGTTTCAGCCTTTATTTCTGCTGGCTTATCATATGCTTGACGCCTCCAGAAATGGGCTTTCGGTTCTCTTTGCTTTTTTCCCACACACCGAGAGACGGCAAATTAAGCCACAACAAATTTGACCTTGTTAAGTTTTGCTCAAACAGTCCGCAAAGCACCAACAAAAACCCAAGAGCAAGAAAAAAAGTAAACGAAATACGAAATAAAAGCAGAAAGGAGCAAAAATCAAGCAAGGCGTCTCGCAGATTCCCAGCATTGTTTAACGACCCGACCCGCTCACATGGCCGAGCGTCGACAGGGCCGTTGCCTACCTCAGTTTGTGGCTTGTTGTTTGTGTGGCTGGCTGATCAATGGGCAGTGCCGGCATCGGGATGCTGCATCCACCGGGCATCCACGCTCAATCCACTCATAAGTCACGCCGTCGTTTTGTATCCACATCCACCGAGTCTGTGTGTGAAGCGAGGGCGGTGCTTGATAAGTGCGCAACCTGCTGCATGTGTTCCGAGGGTCTGTTGTCTGGCTCCACTTGTGGGAGACTTACAGAGACGGAAAATTTACACAGCGTTTGTGTATGTGCAAAATATATTGTAATTGTCGTCATTTATTCCTAAGCGATATCATATAATATAAGCTGAGTGTGTTGCTGGGCATAAATTATTGCCAAAGTTGCGGAAATTGATAGATAGCTTATAATATGGATGGTATATGTGAATCGAAGAATTTTAGTAGGCATTTCTTTCGAGTATTCAAGATAGACATAATTCGTCTATAAGATTTACCTGTATGTTTATTTTTCATATCCATTCATATGTGTTTTATATTTCTATTTGAGCATTAAAAAAATAATAGTCAAATCTATATTTCGTTTTATAGAAATACCCATAGTATTCCCCATTTCACAAATGTGAATATTTTCCAGGTAACAGAAAATTCTTATATATGTAAGTCAATCTAAAATATTTCCAATAAAAATGTTAACTTCTGCAATATGCGCCTCCAGCAGGCTCGAGAAAATTCCTTGCATTTCTGCGTGCATAATATAGTAATCAATAAATCACAACTAATTGTATGTATACCGGTGTATGTGTGTGCGAGTGTGTGTATAAAGTGTTAACATTTTCATAACATTCAATTAACTGCATCGACGGCCCACTGCAAGGGTTCTTGCTCAAAGAGTCCGCCACGGCGCATCACGACACCATCTATGGGCAACAAAAGCAACTACAACAGCAATAGCAACAACAACAACAGCAGAAATAACCACAGCCTACAATAAAGTGCAAGAGCGCAATGTAAAGATAAAACGCAACAACAAAGGCGAAGACAGTGTTGGAAAAAGAGCAGCAGCAAAAGCAAATGAGCAAAAAAAAAAAAAAAAACAAAAACAACTACAAGGAATCCCAGCGAAAAGAGCGCAACGATCGCCTTCTGCCATGTGTATGTGTGCGTGTGCGCGTGCGTGTGTATGCATATGGAGAAGACGGCGATGATGCGACGATGTGATTGAAACAAAACATCTTATTATTACCTACGACCGAGGAGCAGCAAAAAGAACGACCCCGTGCGACCTCGATGTGGACCTGGGACATGTACCAAAGGCAGCCAGGTACTGACTGGCCAGCAACAAAAAATACGAGGAGCGTGCAAAAACAACAAATTCCCACGCTCAGAGGCTGCCCTTTGTCCGACGTCTTCGTTGTTGTCGTTGTCTTTCGTGCCCCTCCCTTCTCCACACAGCCCGCCCCATATAAGGCGCAAGCTGGGAAACGTCCTTACCGCCCCATTCGAAGATTGTGCGAAAGCTGACCCGGCAGTGCCGAAAAAAAAAATGTTTGCGGCTTTCTTCTCCCCGTTCCTCTCTCTTGGGCTCTATCATTCTTACGCTCCATATCTGTCTCTCTCGCTCACTCACTCAAGCAAATGTTTGGCTTTTTGTTGTAGGCAGTTTTGTGATTGATTTCACTTTGGTTTCTCGGTATGCCTTTTGACTTTCACAGCTCATTGGGCTCATTGGGCTCGCAATGTCGCTCACACGATAATGCAGACTACACACATATATACGAGCACACACACACACATATAATTTTATGTAAAGCAAGGCATCCTCCACAGATTCACTCGGACACAAGCTCTGGTATACGGACAGGTTGAATATTGACAGGTATCAAGTGGTGAACGCTCATAATTATAGTATTTAGTGGTGCGTAAAATGTGATACTTATTCTTCTTCTTTTTGTGAAAATCTTTGAGGTTTTTTAAATTGACTAGGGGTACTCATGCGAAGAATGATCAATTATATGATCATTAGTTTTGATCAAGTTGCAAAATTTAACGATGTTTTTGAAGAAAGAAGAAATTTAAATTTTCCATAATATTTAATACATTTTTTTGTAAATATTTTTAATAGGCATATGTTCAACTAATTCTATATAATCATTGATTTATTTTAAAACTAGATTAAGTTACCACTAAAGCTCGCAAAAACCTTTTTCTTTTTAATATAGCATGCAAATTAAAAATTTAGAAATTATAATTATAATTTTCATTTTACTTTGAAATATACTTTTGTTTATTTCAAACACGTAAACTGCTTGTTTTTTATTTTTTCAATCATTTAATGTTTTAAAATACAACTTTTAGTCTTTTTAATTTCTTAGCTGAAATTCTTCTACGAATCACCCTAAGCTATATCCTGCCTGTCTCGATTGCTCAATATAATATAAATTTTTATTAATGTACCGTAAAATCAAAGAGCATCATACTTATGTATATTCACCGAAAGTTGAGACCAGCATCGAGCAGATGCTTGAGCTGCCCGGGAGTTCGCCTTTGAGTGCGGTGTTGTTGTTGTTGCCTGCCCGTGAAATCAGTGTTATTGATCATAGCTGCATAATCAAGTTACGAGCGCGCTTTCATTATGTTGCCAGTTGCCGAAAAGAAAGAAAAAACATCCACCACCAACAGCGGCATCATTATGCTCAGCAACATCGTCATCATGATGTTCGTCAGCAACATCATCGGCAATGACAGTTGGCTGACCAACAGGTTGCCTGTGTTTCGGCTTATGAACGTATACTCAACTTCACCACACTGCGAGGGCTGCATATTCAACACAGAGCCACAGACAATGCTCTGCGTTGGTGGTGTGGGCAGTACTGGCAGTGGTGGTGGCTTGCTACAGCTCATGTTGCTGATGGTGGATTCTTGCTGTCAACTTGTTCGACATTCGCTCGCAGCTCGCACTTGTGTACGGTCGTGTTCTCGCGTCGAATCCAATAATCTGAAACGGTTAAAAAACGTTCAAAAACTTCGACTCGCCGCTTGTCGTTGCAATTGAAATCAATTGAGTGCAATTTGCGAGTGCAAAGTTTTCTGGTGCAAAATGTTTGCCTAAGACAGTTTCGTTTAATTCATTTGTCGCGTGTGTTTGCGCGTAATCAAAGCTAAAAGCAAAACTATACACAAAACGGAAATCGGAGTCAGTTCCATCAACTTTAATCGAAAAGATAAACAAAGCTCTCACACACACATACACACACGCACCATGGCTGACGAGAGCCTGCACACAATGCCGCTGGAGCACAATATAGACTATCATATAGTCACATTGTTCGAGCGCTTAGAGGCGATGCGCAAGGATTCGCACGGCAACGCCATCAACAATCGCCTCTCGAGCACCCTGCAGGTGCCCAAGCGGAGCATGCAGGCCGAGATACGCACCCTGGAGTTCTGGAGGTGGGCATTCGACAGCATTCGAGCCATTAGCATTAGCAGTCAGTCAGTCAGTCAGTCCGCCCACAACTGTAGTCATTATCATTCGCTTTGTTCCCCCGCCTTTATTGTTTATTGTGAATTCTCACTTTTGTGGCTTTGCGTGCATAATGCAGAGGCAGACAGCCAGTCGGACGGCCAGCCAGATGTACTGTACTGTGATGCTTAACTAAGTGACATTTAAGTGGTTTGTCTCTGTGTCTGTATGTCTGGATCTTGGAGACATTTGCGGCCAAGCAATGACAAATATTTATTCCCAAGGGAATGACAATTAATTTAAATGGAAGTCAGTTCATTGATATGGTTAAACAAATTTATTACGATTATTCAGTTATTTTTAGACTTGCATGATATGATGACAGGGTATTTTCTAGTTCTAGCACTTTTTGTTTAGACTAAATAGTCTAAATGTCATTTGGCATTTATGAATATTTTTTGAAATCAGTTTACTTAATTAATAATCAATCAATTCAATTTTAATCGATAATTGCGAATTTTGAAATTATTGTTAGATTTTCATATTGACTGCAACTAGAGTTTGGCTACAGGGTATTTGTTAGTCAGACTGTATTAAAAGTCAGACTGCACAAAAAAAAAATGCCTGAAAATAATTAATTAGAAAACTTGACGGCTTAAAAGTTTTTTTTTTAATAATTGTATGTAATAATTGTAATAATATATTAAATTGATAATAATAGAAAAATTGTTTAACAGAATACAATTTATAATTAAATTATGACATATTGAATAATCATATTATTATTACTACTATAATAAGAATATTATAAATAGAAAATATAATAATTTATCTCATTCTGTTAAGCAATCGTTCTCTAACCATTTTTAATTCCTTAACTTAAAACTTTAAACTTTCCATAAACGATTTCTGATACTTTCATCTAGTTAAACCGTTTTTAACATAATTAAAATGCAGATTAATTTTTTTAAAGAATTTTTATTACCATTCTTTAATCGTTTTCCTTCAAATATCTGCTGACGGTCAGTTTTATATATGAATTTAATGCCCGCTTCATTAAAAGTCCATAAAGTAATTAAATTGCAGCAATGCTCTGGACAGCGCAGTTTAAATAAGTTCTCCTGCTGGTCCTCCCCTTCTTCTTCTTCTTCTTCACCTTTGTTGGCTTACATTAATTATTTTTGTACATTTTTTAAATTTAAACGAAAATTCACCTCAAATAAGCTGCGTATGTCCGTGACAGCAGTTATTCACCAAAAAAAAAAAAAAAAAAAAAAAAATAAATAAAAAAAAAAAAAATATATATATATATATATATATATATATATATATTAGAGTCGAAGCCCCAAGTAGAAGCCCCAATTAGGGAGCAGCGGAATAATGCAAAAGTTAAACAAGAAATTTGATGGAAATTAACAAATGCAAAGTTCTGGCAAACCAAATTGCAGCTGGAGCTGGCAATGTTTATGTTGCCATCGCAGCAGTTTGTTTGATTTTTTCGTTATCGCAAAAATGCGAAGGGAGCAAGGAGGAGTGGGAGTAGCAGGAGGATGGGTAAGGGAGCAGAGAACTGGAGGGACAGAGTAAGAGAAGGCGGAGGAGCAGCAGAAGGAGGTTGGAGAGGGTGCAGGGGCAGAAGAGTAGCGTAGCAGGAGGTGCAGCAGGAGAGGGCAGAGGAGCAGTATTTGCCTGCTGTCATGGAGGGCGTTGTCCATTTGTTTTTTATGTTTTCTGGTTGTCCAGCAACAACGACGACGACGACGCCCCGGGCAATCGGTAGCTGCTGTCTCTCAGTCTCAGTCTCTGTTGGCTTTTTGGTTGCGGAACCTCAAAGCTAACTGCCCCCATCTCTCTGTCCCTCTCTCTCTCTCTTTATCCCTCTATCTCTGTGTGTGTGCATAATTGTCATTGGGCTTGAACAAGGCGCACATTGTGTTTGCAATTTGTAGCGCAACATAATTTCTTGAATATTTACTTAAATCATATGAAATGACGTGCCCCAACTGAAGTATCTTGCTTTAACCCGCCTTCCTCTTTGCCTCTTCTTGCAGATCCATCATCAGCGAGTGCCTCGCCTCGTTCCTCTATGTGTTCATCGTATGCGGCGCTGCGGCGGGCGCCGGTGTGGGTGCCAGTGTTTCATCCGTGCTCCTGGCCACGGCGCTCGCCTCCGGCTTGGCGATGGCAACATTAACACAGTGCTTTTTGCATATATCGGGTAAGCCAACGAAACAAAAACAAAAACAAAGACAAAAACAAACAGACGAATAAACAGGCGACAAGTGTTGCATGTTGCTTGTTGTTGTTGCTGTTGAGGGTCTACAAACTCTGCCGTGGGAATTTCTTTGCCACCAACCAAACAGCAGCAGCAACAGCCACAAAAACCCCATTTCACATATATTTCGTTGGGTCTTTGTGCGGCGTCACCTATTGAAAGGAGTATATAGGTTTGCCTGTACAAATTTTCGAAAGACTCAACGCAAGAGAGTCGAAGCTTTAGGTAGGCCCAGAGACCAGAGCTTGAGATATTTTGAAACTTTAGCTATATGATCCTTGTTAGCTATTGGTGGAAGTTTTAAGAATTTTATCAAATAGATATATACCTAAAAATTTAATTGTTGATGCCTGTTGGGAAAATCGGAAAATATCCAAATAAAACTTACGAAAATCTACTTAGAATATTTTTAAAACGCTGTTAAAATATTTATTTAATTCAAATTGAATTAATAATATAGTATTGCATATTACATGAATATATTTGAAGTAGAGTCTTTCATATATATTTTTTAGTTGTTTTGTTTTTAATTTTATATGCATCTATACATTTTTTATGTTAATTATTATTTATATGTCTTTCATAACTTTTATTTATTTATTTATTTATTTATTTATTTTTTTTTAAATATAACAATAATTTTTAAAATTTAAATTAAATTTTTGATTATTGAATTTCGCACAAGTCGCTTAAGCAGTCGTTTGTATTTAATATTTTCTATTTTTATTTCACTCAACTTTATATAATTTTTATATAATTTATTATTTAAAATTTTATATTACATTGGACTTTACACGAATATGTAGTAGTTAGGAATACCCCATTTTTAATCATTTTATATTTCATTGAACCTTGCTCGAGTATTATGCAGTCAGCTACACCCCACATCAATTTTACTATTTGTTTTCTTTTTATATTTATGTATTTTATTCTCTCTATTTTTTTTTTTTTTTTTTTTTTTTTTTTTTTGTAATTTTCGAAAAGCCAACGCACTGTGGTTGTCGCCCGCGTCTGCGATTCCGTCTCCTGCCCCTGGGCTCCCACTCCTGCTGCGGCTTCCCCTTGCTTTTTCAAGCGCCTTGGCTGCACTCAGCCGAGGAGACGCTCTTATCTGTGGCGGGCGCACTTGCACTGGCCTCTCTGTCATTTTTCACTGTTCTCTGTACAACTTCCTCGTGTATTTGTTCATCTGCGTTGACATTCGGGGCAATTAAATGTTGCCACAAAAGGCGGGGAAGTTGGGGCCAGGGCGTACGTATGTAGGGAGAACATGTGTTCTTGATTTCGCCTTTAAGTTGCATTCTGTATAACTGTAAATATATATAAGTGTATGCGCATATATACATGTATGTTATATGTTTTCCTTTTCACAGCCAATTGGCTGCACATTAAGTTATGAACACAGTCCCTCAATCCAGCGCATAAAAAATAATATTCCACGAAAGTGTCAAAATGTTATTTAACGGTTTTCAG